TTAATCCGAGTTGGGAAGTCCAGGTTTTTCTGAGCAACGAGCTGGATCAGCTGCAACAGATGCAAACTTCTGTTTGACTAAAATGAAGCAACAGACGGCAGTTTCACACTGGAATCCCCTGTGCAGGACAGTTTGATATTTCTTCCAGCTGTCGGAGGATTTCTTTTTGGGTTTTTTTGGTAGTTAAATGTCTGCCTTTCATATAGTTTTGCTGAAGAAGTTCAGCTATATTTTCCACGTCGAAGACATTATTCATGGCTTTGTTTCCATAGTTTTTATATACATTTTCTCTAGAAAAATAATTACACCATAACATGTGATCAGACACCCCAGATAAAAGACATTTTGGCAAAATTCTTCAACATTCCTCTTGTGTAGTTTTCTAGCCCGCTGTCCTGTTAGGAGGGAGGTTCAAGCCTTGCTACCAAACAACCTGAAGGACCAGCCCTTTAACCTTTCAGATCTGCATTGACTCCAAAGTAACGGCAGTCGGAGGGGTACTCTGTGCACTTGTACTAGCTGTGTCATAAGCAGCTTCCTTCATCACCTGCCTTCACGTCCTGACACTCAGAGTTCAACATGTACTGTGTCATGGGAGGGAAGGACTTAACCCTTTGATACTTGGAGAACGTCATTTTAAAATACAAGGTATCAAACAAAGCACAATGAAGTCTTCTGTACCCTTAAGGCAGACCTGAGAGTTCTCCCATGAATCCCTGCCGCCATGTCATCTGTAGCTACATTATCTCTGAGGCCTTATCCTGTATCCACTGATGCAATGGGACTCCTGCCACCTTAAGAAGATTAATGTTGTGCCTGGATTTCATACCAGTCTCCCCTAGCACATGCAAATCACTAACGTTTGAACATTCCTTGGATCTCTGTATGTTTTAATTAGTAAGCACAAAACTGCTTTGGAGAAAGAAAAAAACCCATTTAAGATCAAAGTGGGCTTTAATTCACATTTACACTTGTTATGTACAAAGGACCCAGCTAGTAAAAGGAGGCTTATATTTGTTTCAGATGGTAAAATATATAATATTGCAATAGGAAGATATGCTGTGTTCTTGACCTAAATGATTTACAAGAAATGTAACAAAAGGTAGTTTAGTGGTTGTCTTTGCCAACATGAAACTTCAATTACAATTAGTTTTAAAAAGAAAATGAGAAAGCTCTTTAATCTCTATTAAAAAAACCCCAAAAAACCTTGAAATTTTGACATGACCCAAAGAATGAATTAAGCCATCAAATATAAAATGGTTGATGTCATGGTTATCTTACAGGGCTATACATCACTGTGTGGAGAACATATGAGCATTTCTGCCCTGTCAAAAATAGGCATTTAAAAAAATTAACTGCCCAAAATAAACAATGCTTCATTTACTTCCAGATGTCCCCAGCATCTTTCAGTACAGACAGGGGGAACAACTGCATCAATATCAAAGGATACCGACACAAGCCATTACAATATAACTATTGTGTCTGCAGGATTCTACAGCAATACAAAAAACTGCTCCAGTTGTGACCCTGCTTCATTCAGGATCAAACTTAGGGCCATTTAGCTAACCTGTATCACTACGGTAGGGGTGTCAAAGATATGGTGTATGGGCCAGATCTGGCCCATGGGTCTCATATTGATCCCTTACATAGGGTTACCATAATTGTTTTAAGTAAATCCAGGATGGGTGGGGTGGAGGATGTTGGTAGGGGTGCATGCACACAGACACTCTCTCTCCACCCTGTAGCTCCCAGGAGTGGGGCTGGGCAGGATAGTGTTGCGCGCGCACGCGCACACACACACAGCTCTGATCCCACAGCTGCCAGGTTCCCTCCAATCTTGAACTTTTGCTTACATTTTTTCCAATGGCTGGGACACTGAAACAAGCTATAAAGTCCAGGACTGTCCTGGCCAACTTTGGACATATGGTCAAACTATTGACATATGGTCAGACTATTGTGGCATGCACTGATCCTGGCTACACATGCTGCATGTGATGCACTGGGCTGGATCCTGTGCCATGGGCGCTGCACACAGCACAGGATCCAGAGGCATATGGATCCACACAGCACAGGATCGAAGGCACACATGGCATGTGACATCTGCACCAGCCCAGCCATGCACACTGGCTCTGGTGCTATTCCAGATTGGGTCCAGACCATTCCTGTGCTCTAGAGCCAGTCCGCAGGGCCAGTCTGACATAACTGCCACATGCAGTGCGTGCAACATGTACAGTGAAAGCCCCAGACCCGTGCTGGTGCATGCTGCATTCTGCATGCAGTGCATGGGGCTGGATTGGGCACACACGCTGCTCACAACAGAGGGCTAATCTGTGGTATGCACTACATGCAGTGCTGCACGGGACAAGTGGTGGCAGACAACAGAACAAGAAGCAATGGTCTCAAGCTACAGCAAGGGAAGTTTAGGTTATATATTAGGAAAAAACTCTCACTAGGAGGGTAGTAAAGCCCTGGAACAGGTTACCCAGAGAGGTGGTAGAAGCTCCATCCTTGGAAGTTTTTTAAGACCCAGCTAGACAAAAACTTGGCTGGGATGATATAGTTGGAGATGCTCCTGCTTTGAGCAGGGGGTTGGACTAGATCAGTGTCTCTCAACCCGTGGGTCACAACCCAAAAGTGGGTTGCAAAAATATATGCAAGGGTCATGAACAAACTTTAAAAATGGATTCTCCTTTCAATGACAAAAATGTGGAAACCTTGTCTTTTCCCTTGCAGACTATCAGAGTCCCAACCTGCAAGGGGCTGCTTGGGGCCCCCCACCCCATACACACATGCCCACTCCACACACCTACCCCATGCCCCACACACTGGAGAGCTGAGGGTGAGGGCCGCTGGCTTGGGACTGGCCATCGATGTTTACAAATGGGTCCTAGTACAAAAAAAGTTGAGAAGCACTGGACTAGATGACCTCCTGAGGTCCTTTCTGATTTTCTATGATTCTATGACTCAAGTCCAGGTCAGGCCCACAGACCAGTTGTATGTACCAGAACCAGCACACAGGGTGAATATGAAACAGGCACCTCACGTACTGGGCACCCCATGACAGCTCCATGTGCAAGCCCTGGACTTGGGTTGATGTGCACTGCATGCAGGGTGTGCACCACATGAAGTGTCCACACTGGACTGGCTCTGTGCGCTGGCTCCAGTGCAAGTGGTCAGTCTTTGGGTCTGATCCAGCCCACAAACCAGCCTAGCACCCACCACCCGGCCATAGGGCAGGATGAATTTGATAACTCTGCACTACTGGATCAGGAAGAAGTAATGATTACAGCATAAACGGTGATATGTGCTCCCAAGGCAGCAGATTACAGAATACTTTTATAGACATGTAGTTAGAAGACCAACAATATAAAAATCTTAACAGGAACAAGGCTGCTCATCAAAATGATACCACTCGCTCTTTGTGTTCCCTTTTATAGTCTGCCCCCTCTCTGCCCATTCTGTTGAATCTTTTGGGGATAGGGACCTGTCAGTGATACTCATGATAGCTTTATGCCAATCAATGAATCAATGCTGACCTATTCAAGCGATCATTCACCATAATTTACAGATATGTAGAGAGCTAGAGAACATGCAGCTAAGCCAGGCACTCCAAACAACAGCACAAGAAGACTGAAGGAAAATCCAAGTGAAACTGAATTTTATATTCCTCTTCTCTAATGGATCCATACTACAGTTATCATCATCATCCTCAATAGACCCCTAGGTAAACATTGAGATTAAGTGTGGGAATAAAAGAAATCTCATAGTACGATGGCACCCAAAGGGTATTGGTAAATAGAGGTGCATCAATACATCAGTCCCATATTGGTTCGGCACCGATAGAAGGAAAATTTAAAGTATCAGCAATTGGCTTTTTATTGGCTGATGTGGCCGATAATGTCACTGATAAATGCCCTGTGCATGCGCGCAGGCAAAGCGTAGCGCAAAGGCAGCCAGGAGCACAGCCCAGCAGCGTGGAGAGCAGCATCGGGCTGGTAAGTCTGTGGTGGGGGAAGGGAAGGCAGATTGAGGCCCCTGCAGTGAGGGAGGGAGTGGAGCTGGGGCAGGGGCAGGGACTGCCCAGCCAAGGCAGGGCATGAGATGGAGCCACAAGCGGCTTGTCTGGGAGGCACGGGCAGAGGGGCTCCCACTGCTACACACACCCCAGGAGGGCATGGGTGCGGGAGCCATGTGCTCCTTGGATCCGTGCGCGCCGCCCACAGATCCAAGCACTGCCGCCACCTGCCCTGAGTGCAGCCTGGCTCAAACCCCTTGCCAGGAAGAGCTTAGCACAGCCCTGGCTCCAGCCCGCAGCAGCAGCCCGCCCTCGCTCTATGTACAGATCCAGGGCGCACATGTCCCCCATGCCCTCCCAGGGTGCATGTTGTGGTGGAAGCCGCATCTCCCGGATGACCTGCTCATGGCTAAATCCCACGCCATGCACTGCCCTGGCTGGGCAGTTCCTACTCCTGCCCTAGCCCCAGCCCCACTCCCTCCCTCACTGCAGGAGATTCGATCTGCACCCCTCATGCCCCTTCCCTCCCCCCGCCCCTTCCTCCTCAACAGACTTACCAGCCCGACACTGCTTTCCAAGCTGCCGGGCTGCGTTTCATCAGTCAGATCGGCATCGGCTGATATGGCTCCTTAAAAATTGGCCATCAGTATGGGCCCAAACAATCTCTATCAGTGCACCCCATTGGTAAATGTCAAATTACTGAGAGAGAAGAAACAACCAAGTAGGGTTCTGCAAAAATGTATGTAGAGGACTCACAACATCCAAAAAAGCAAAAAGATGATTACAATCTTAACTCTGCCACTTTAAAGAATGCATCATAGTCAAACAAGCCAAGTCTTGGTCATATTGTCTTATATAAACTTGCATGGCTAAGGTTAAAGTGTATTTTAAATCTAGCATTTGCATAGCAGTGTATTACCACCATCATAATGATTTCATATAAAAGGGCAAAGTGTTGGATGATCAGTTGTTTATTTTTTGTTGGCTGATTTGTGATCTGTCCAAACTTTACATTGCATTTAAAATGGAGTCTTATGGAATAGAATCATATTTTCTTGTGCAAGACATATTTTTCATAAAATTAAAAAAAATAGCAAGGGCTATTGTTGCTCTCTCTTTGGCTTCTATTGCCAAGATGGACAAGTTAAACATACAGAGCTCTGACACACCAGAAGTATTCAAGAACCAACACTGGGTGACTTCAGGGCTTTTATTAACAAAAACAAATGAGAAAATTATTTTTTCCAAGCTGCAAATGTTTTATTATCTGGGGAAAAATATAAGAACTGATGATTCCTTCCTTCATACATATAGCTGACTTGAATAAAAATAATTTAAGAAGCTTTATTTTTACATTACACAAAAGCCATTAAAAACTAGGATTATTTAATGGAGGAAACAAGATTATTCAGAGAGAACTGTTGTCTAACTAGTGAGAAACAGTGCTCAAATCTTGTAACTCAAATATGGAGTCAATCACCATTTTCACTCCAGTGAAGAAAGTAAAGCAAAGTTATCTGTAAAAGAGTTGAACTCTGAAACTGGCACATAGTCACACTAGTGAATACTCATAATAAAGCAACAGTTCTAAGATCTTACCCCAATCATATAACATTCAGTCTTCAAAAGGTCAAATCTTTTAGAAATTCCAATGATGAACAATCTTTCCAGTGTTCCTACGATCCAATCTGCTAAAGCCCGCTTGATTTTGGAGGGGGTTTTTGGTGCTATTTTTGTTTGCTATTACAAGCAAATAAAAATTGTATGCAAACTACATTGCAAAATTTTCCTTGCCCCCACACTTTGGGCCAAGTACTTTCTTTTGACAAAGGATGAAGCATCATTGCTTGATAATCGTTATGCGGGTAAAGGATGGCCAAGCAGATTTTGTGCATTAGCTGGCGCATCTTCATGACAATTCCATAAGTGGGACTTAAATATTGGGGCATCTGTTGTTGTATAATTAAACAGAAGTGCATTTACAGCTGGGCTAGAATGACATTGTTAGATGACAACAGGTCTACCAACTAGTTCAATTTCTACACGTATCTTGTGGCAAGCACTTCCAGCATATACACCGTTTTTTAAAAACTGTATGTATTCAGGCTGTATTTTCCATTCATAGACGCATCACTTGTCTGGTGTTTTTAGTTGTATCTAAGTAAAGATCATTTTTTCTCTAAAAAGCTAGGAAACTCTGAACATAGGTCAGCACATTGTTGTGAACTGACTTTAAAAACCAAAGGTTGCAATGACATTAGCACATCAAAATTTCACTGTAGAACACCCAGGTGAAATGTCATTTGTGAAAGAAAAAAACAAACCCAAAAACATGCAGGGAAAGAATGAGGTGGATTTTGAGCAGATATTTATTTCTATTAAGGATCACATTAAATTTCATGTAAATGTCATAGTTATGACTGTGGGAAATACTGAGGGAAAAACAACTTTCACTTAATACTAGGAACAACAGAATGTGAAAAAATACGACTACAAAACCTGTCAAAACTGTTTCCCTACTACAGTCAAACATTAGGATTTTTCTCCCTTTTGAAGGCCACTGGATTTGCAAGCTTGTACTGAGGTTTAAATATCAAACAGATGCCATCTAAAGGAGTACTTGACAAGCCTCTTTTGTCAAATGTATTTAATTTGAACGTGGGTTTTTGTTTTTTTTTAACTGTCTAGTTTGTAGTACCCTCCCAAGAGTTTAAACACGACACTCCTTCTCCTCAGTGCTTTGCCATTTTTCATTTGGCAGATGCTAACTACCACACCCTTCCATTTCCTAAGGAGCACAAGACACTGTGAACTGCCCTTTTATTTTGTCACCCACATCATCAATAGCATTACAGCCCTGGACCATGACTTACAAATTAACCAGTGCCCCTTTTGTTGATGGGATGCTTTCTTTTGCAGCCACATCTGGGTAAAAAATATTGTCATTTTGAATGACAAAAAAAATATTGTCATTTTGAATGAACGGGGGCTACAGGTTTCTTTTAAAATTTTCAGTAAATGGGAAGATGGATTTTTTTTAAGCACATAATTGGATCCAGGTGACGGATCTCACCAGATTCGGACAGTTTAAGAAAAGCGTTCCTTTCTCAGTCTGTAATTATTCTTAGTTATAACATGAAATATTCTACTGGAATGAGCTAAAGAATTTTGAAAATATTATTAATTATATTTATTTCTTAGGTGTATTTTACTTTTCTAAATATATTACTCATTGATTTAATTCAATCAATAATCTACCATATTGTCATCCAACTATAGCAATCCAGAAACATTTTCTGGCTATGGAAGAGGCTTAATTATTAAGCCGCATCTTCCTACAAAGCTTCAGTATTTTGATTGGAAAAAAGCATTTCTTATTGAAATAATACTGAAGTGGAGCACAAGCCCTCCTCCATCTATCTGAATGTTAATTAGCTTTTCAGGACAAAAGGCCAATCACATTGAATCACATTGAATGTTCAAGACAGCTCAATGGGGAACTCCGGTGGGACAACAGTATATCTTGGGTCAAGTCTAGGGATGAAATCCTTGAAGTGTCTAGATGCTTCAGTATCAAATACGTCTAAAACTTTCCTATTCATGAGAGCAAACCTGAAAAAGAACAGATTTGTGATAAAGAAAACACTTTCCATTTACTTACAAGTACAAATATTAGCAAGTGCTTCAGTATTGGAATGGTTTCATTATTATGAAATATTTTCCTTCCTTTTGCAACGCACAGTGATAAAAGGCATTAAAAACCCAGGGTGTTTAAAGTTTAATAGCAGCTGAGGGGAAATACATGCCAGTGGTGCCCCTAGCTAACAAGGCAGAGGATTGAGCTAGACATCTGGAGGTCCCTCCCAGCCCCGCTTCTCTACGCTTCTATGAAACAGGGATCTCAGCTATGCTACACTTGCAATTTACTTCTGAAGCAACACACATTTTTATTCTAGACAACGCAGGTGCCTTTTTCTATCTGAGAAGTAAATCTGCTTATGAAGCGAGTCACAGAGCACATGTTTAGCCTTTTATATCATACTTTTATATAATATAGCCTATGTGGGGGGTTTTGGGGTTTTTTTTTACCATTCCCCAGGAAAAATGTCCCCCCCGCCACAATCTGAGAGAAACCATATCCCTGTCCCCATTTGCCCTGAATCCTGACAGCAATTGTAGTGGAAGAAATTGAAGCATTTTTTGAGTGCTAAATAATTGACCTACACATTTACTGTATATGATTTTCCATTTCCAATTCAAGTATGAGATTGGGGGCAATGGGGTGGGGGGTGAAGACAGCTGCTGATGCTCTGGCTCCAGCTCTGGCTCTTGCCCCAAACCAGGGTTGGAGCTGCAGCTGCAGCTGGTCCCCTTGCCAGCTCCCAGCTCTACCCTGCCGCCTCTCCCCGACCCCGCTGCAGCAAAGGAGGTGGGGAGGGAGGGATGGAGAAATTTAGGACAACCTTCCGATAATTAAATTCTGTACTTTGGGGGATGATATTAAATTCAGGTTGTCTTGGATTCGGGAAAATACTGTATATCATTTGGGCACATATCTGTTATGTTTCACATAATACTTCACACTCCATAGGATTCTTAAGGAACCTTTCATCTCAGATGAATTAGGGAGGGAAGTGTTCTGCTTAAACACAAATTTGCCACTATGCTCTTCTACACAACAGTCATCTGTATAAAGCTAGTTTGTGAAACAGAAAAGAAGGGATGGAAGGGACCTGTGGAAGTCACCTAGTCCAAACCCCTGCCTAGGGCAGGATCATCACTCTCCAAACCATCCCATACAAATCCTTGTCTAATCTACTATTAAAACTACACAGTCTAATGCTAGTAGTTTAGTTGTGGCAGTAGAGTGCAGGCTGCTGCTTTAAAGCTAGGTCAGGTATGTTGACACGAGCTGCGGTGACTCCATTATAAATGTCCCCTAAGTTCTTACCTGCCCTTTGTCAGCCGTAAAAGGAATTTCCAGTATGAAGGTCTTAGATGTTGAACTTCCATCACAGCCTGCAAACAGATTTCAATTATAATTTCTTCAAATCAGTAAGTAAAACATTCCTTGGCACAGGTACTAAGAAAAAGAAAGTGAATTCCTGCTACTCTTACTCTAATGATAGGTAGTCACAAGCCAGCTATGCTATTGCTGTTGGGCTATATGCAAATGAATATTCATGCTACCAGCCACAATCTGATCACCAGACAACAGGCTGTTGTCTCCACATGGAGCAGGGTGATCGCAGCGCCTCAACCCATCAATTCTCTTAATGTAAAGATGGAAAATATGCCATGTTTAACAGGGATATGGGTGTGTGACTGGAAATTTATTTTTGTTAGACACTTGAGAAGGAAACTTGCAGGCAGGGAATTTAATTTTCTCTGTCCAGAGGGGTATCAAAAATAGACCCTTACTCCTGGAGAACAGAAATCTCCAGAAATCCATTTAGCCTGAACACAATAACTGGATTGGGAGGGGAGGGACTCCAGGTGAAACCATGTGGAAATGAAGGTGGGGTCTGGGATGTAGTAGGAGATGATCAAAGTTGATTTATTCAGGACAGGAAGGGCACTGGTACCCATCCTGGGATGCAGATTCTTCCAGCACCTCCCAGGCCTGACTGGGAAAGGTATGATAAAAGAACAGGTGGGGATGGGAAGGAGTGAATGAAGGAAGTGAGCTGGGCATGAGAAGATGAAGAGGTGGCTCTGAGGTGCAGAAAAAGTAGCAGGAATTATTACTGAGAGAGTGGGCAGAAAGGATGGAGAAGGAGATTCAGGAACAGCAAAGGGAGAAAATGACTGCAGCTTGTCACAGGCCGTGAGACTGGAGATCTCCTTCTTTGTTTCTGCTGATTTTTTACCAAGCTGTAATTGCAGCAAAAGTTAATTGAGTGTGCAATTTGCCAACTTGGCAGAAAACTGTGGGGAAGGTTAAAACTCTTTGAGGAAAATACTGAGTGAAGCAAAGTTTTCATCAATGAGTTCATTTTGTACTTCTCTTTTGCACCTTGAGGTTTCTTTCAAAAGAAGTTAGTATCTACTCATGATGATGACATTACATTAGAAATGGGTGATCTGAGTCATGGAAAGATTAGATGACCTTTTCTACATTAACACTTCAAAAGCAGGGAGAGAAAGCATGGGGCCAGGCTCAGAGATCATGAATTGAAGTCTTGCTTAAATCACCAGATTGTCCTGCCTCCTCCATAGGATAGTATCTCCATTTCAACCCATTCAAACATTAAAATGAATTAAGGAATTTTGATTTCTGTTTGAAGCCTGAATACTCACTGCCTGAAAGCAGATAGCTGTGGAAACAGCATAGATGATGCTGTCTGCATGAGGAAAATAAGGAACCTTTCCTGCTTCAATGCCTTTGAAGTACATGGTCTGTAAAAGCAAAACACACATGCCAAATAAATCATATGTTAAAGGAAAGCTACTGACTTTGTATTTAGATATACTTCCATTCCTGGAGTCCTCAGCAAATATTGTGATAACTACTGAAATTAACATATAATTTTTTTATACTAACAACCAGGGCCTGTAAATTAATCTGGACATTTTTTAACTTCCTTATAACATTTTCTTACTGGAGTGAAGAACATATTCAGAGTTCCCCAAGGTGGTTGGCTTCAGTCTAAGGAAAGGGGGCATATACAGAGAAGTAGCAGTGGAAATATGGAACGCTCTGTGAACTCTCTACAAATACAAGGAAAGGATTTGGTTTTCTCCCCCTCATTTTGTACTGGTTCCTAATACATCTAACCATGTCCAGGTCTGAATATACTTCCTCACACCACTCCTGAAGCACTCCATTCAGTTGTACACAATATAACCAACTGCACAATCCCATCCCTGTGCATCAAACAGCACACGGCCTTCCAGAGAACAGAAAATACAACGATGGAGGGTCTCAAAAGATGGGAGTGGGAGGAGGGAGTCAGCCTTTATTTAAAAAAATAAGCTTGGTAGGAAAGAAAAAGAAGATCTGATGGAATGGAAGAAAGATCAGAGACAGCAAAGGATGTACGGAAGAAAGAGAATCCAGTGAGAAAAATGAAGGCATGGCGTGTAGTTTACCAGGGAACAAGATGGGGATGAAGATGTCCATCCAACCACCTCACTGATAGGAGATGATACAACCAGTGGCTGAGAACCAGCAACAAGGTAAAGTGAAGCACAGATGGTCACTGCATTCAGCAGTTTAATGCTCAAAACTTACATACCTTTCCTATCCTCGGTTTACCAACAGTAATTAACCACTTCTCAAACATTATGAGAGTGAACATTGTTGCAAATGGCTGAAATGACTTATTCAAGGTGATGTGTTCAAAGCTTTAGACCTAATCATTATCTAGCAACAAAGGCACCAACTTTTCAAGAAAATTGCTAAATAGGTTGGTGTAGAGTGCCAAAGGAGCAGGTCTGTACAACAGTTGGGGGGGGAACACTTCAGCAAAATAACCCTGAGATCATACAAGACAACATGCAAGATTCTATTCAGAAATATTAAAAGGGCACCATTTGGTGCCTTAGTAATACAAAAGTATAAAGGAAATTGCTACGTGGAACACAGTACAGCTTGTATTTTTTAAACTAAAATGGTAGCAGGTTTCCAGCAAAGAAAAAGGAAGTCAAAATATTAATATGAAACCAGGGAAATGATCTTTATTGCATTTCTAAAAATATGGAATTTTATTATATATTTTCTAACAATTAAAGGTGAACTTTTCAAAAGCCCCTGACTGGTTTAGGAAAATAAGTTCCACTTTTAAAAGTGCGACTGGGGAACTGAAGAATTTAAGGCCCAAATCCACCTTCTCCATTAGGCGGATAAGAGCGCTTACACGTGACTGAAGTTAGCTATGAAGACTGGGGTCACTTATGCAGAGTTTAGATCCTGTTCTCTCTGATGAAAGTCAACTCAAGTTCTAGGCTTCGTCAGCCAGAGCAAGCACCTCTGCCCCTTCCCAGGATAGTCTGCTTGCCAAGATTAGGATCACGACACTGTCAGTGGTGATACTGGATCCCTTCTGAGCATGCTCAGGAAGACAAGTCAAGTTATTCAGAGAGGTGCAGGATCTAAAATCTGTAGAAACAGCCTTTACTGCCACATATGTGACTTATAATAGCTGCATAATTGCTCCCTAGCTGCCTAAAACAGGAGTTGCATTTGGACCCACATGTAACTGGCATTCTAACAGGCTTCAACTCTTAAGTGTCGCTGGCCAGTGGTAGACAGTGAAAAAACCATGTGATGGGATCTGAACCCCAATCCCAATAATTGCATGCCTTGCCCTGCCACATATGTAGGGCAGGATGTGTGATTATAGGGATTGGGGACAGATCTCAAGCATGTGACTGCCAGCAGCCCAGCCTTCCAGTTGCAGGAGATGAAAGGCTCCCTGAGGATGGAGTCAAGAGGATCCCAGTGCAGGGGAGTTTAAACCAGGCAGGGCTGCTGGGGGTGGAGGATCAAAGGCTTCCAGTGTTAACTGTGTAATAAGTGTAACAATTGCCAGGGGTCTTGGACATTTCTGAAAATGGCATTCAGGTTCCTAAATCACTTAAGGGTTTTAAAATGGTTTACCTGAATGTCAACATGATATTTCACAGAAAGGGTATAAAGGGTATTATAGATCTTGAAGATAACAGGAGATGAAGTTTGCTACAGAAAGACCTCCTTTTATAACAACAAATCTATCATGAGGCAACAAGTCAAAGAAAGTGACTATTTACTACCCTGAAACAGCTTGGAGTTGCATGCTTTTCTTTTTGAGAAAACGTGCAGAGTTTATTTTCTTGAGCACAGCTTGATCCTCCAAGCAGCACACGCCTCTTTGGTCAGTAAACCTTGGCTTGCATAAGATGGTAAAAGCAGTAAAAAAAAATGAGAAAGCACATAGCGTTTTTCTTATTGCATTGCAGCCACAATGTCTCAGAGTAGAGTCCAGAGAAAACCATCAGCAACACAGCATAACATTTCCTTATTATAAACGGAAAAATGCTCCAGTAAGTAAACCTCATACAACAAGGATGATGCAATGGGCCTGAGATGTTTTGATCCATCATTAGATATATCCAAAGAGAATTTGAATCAGGATTACTAGGAATGTGCATGACTAGGTTACATATCTCTATGTTTAATGTGTCATTTTGTTCCATAATTTTTCACATTTCTCTGTTTTCACCTTTTCAAAAGGAATTCAAATGGTGGCAATAGGACCTGGATTCCCTAACATCAGTAGAAGGAGACTGACTCAGGGACAAGGCACCAGGGGCAGGCACTGTCAATTTATTCCAGTAATATTGCTGTGAAAAGAGCCATGATATTTCATGGAAAAATCATAGTGACAAACTTAAAAGCCTAAATACACCATTCCTAGTCAATGTTTCAAGGCTTACCCTCCCTTTTAAGAACATAAGGGTGCATGTAGACGTGTTACAGGGCTGCTCTGATGTGCTGTAATTGCAGCGTGTCAGAGCAGACTCCATTAATCGGGTCTGCCAGTGTGTGGTAATTACCGTGCTCAAGCCAGCTTCTGCGTCTCGTATATTAGTGTCTTCATGTTTCAAAATGGTAACAGGATGCTTGAACTAAAGCTCGTTGCACAAGCTTTAGTTCAAGTGTCCCCACCATCATTTGGAAGTGTGGGGATGCTAATACATGAGACTCTCAGAGCCCCACTAATTAAAGTGACCCCCCCATGTAAATATGCCCTAAGAGCCGCTATTTACTGGACCAAACCGCAGGTCCATCAAGCCCAATATTTGCAGTGGATACTGGCTAGAGCTCTCTGCTTGGTGTCCTCCCTTGGCACCTTGGTTATTAACTTGTAATATTCACTCCCATCTCTGTTTTGTCATTTACTGTCCCAAGATATCAACTGTTGTACACCTAACAGCCTTTCTCCTGAAAGGGGCTTGTGGTTCCTGGTGGACCTAGGCCCACTGTGATTGCACAACAAAATAGGTACGTCTCACACAGATCCCTGGCAGATGAGCATTTAAAAGCACAATAGGACCTGATGTATGAGCCCCACAATTGCACTTCCTGCCATGCCACACGTGCAGAAGGTGCGACTGTGGGATCAAGCATCAGACCATACTGCCGGTAGCAAGCTCCCAAAGCCTGGAGCTGCCAGCTAATCCAGACTCCCAGCTGCAGAAACACATGGTATACCCCTGTGGCTGGAAGCCCAGATCAGCTGACAGCTCCCAGCTTCAGAGGCACATAGTGTGCCCCCGTGGCTGGGAGCCCCAGCCTGGCTACATGTTCAATTAATGGCATGAAAGGAACCAGCCACAAATTTATTATGTATATTTTGTGTAATAACTTTGTGTGGCTCATTGCTTGTTTTATCATGCCATTAACTGCATTGCCGTGTGGCCAGCTAACTACTTAACATGTGATTAACTGGTTAATCATGTCTTAAGAGCAGTGTGGCCCAGGAGGCACAGTGGCACACACTGGATGTTGATGGGAAGGCTGACCAGGGGATATCTATTCCCACTCCTCTCCCATTGCAGCTTCCAGCATAGAGGTTTCTCTCCCAATACATGTGTTCATAAATTGTGATTATAAATATGGATATGCAAACAATGCCTGGGGAGTTGTGTTATGAAATTATTATTCTTCTTCACTTTTCCTTGGCTTAAATTGATACTTTTTTTATCTCTGAGATCTGATAAAATAATGTAT